ATGCCTCTGCTTTATTGGGGACAGAAGAATACTCCAGCTGCCATGGTGCGTGTGTGTGTGTATGTCTATTTTCATCCCTAAAAGTTTTTTAGCGCTGCTGACTCGGCCCACTTTATTTCTTTTTGACTGCAGGAAAAACAGTTTTCAATGCACTCCCGGGGGATGTCTTGGGAAATAATAAATAAATCAGTAAGCAGAAGAGGCATTTCCAGTCCAGGAGCCAGATACATAAAACTTAACTCAGAATCAAGGCTAAGTATGTATGAAACTTTAAAAAAGATTCAGCTAAAGAGTTGTGCATCTGTATTTCTTTCTTGAAGTTCACTGATATTTATTTTAGACTGAAGAACAGACTAGACACCAGAAAACGCAGGTAAACAAATGGAGCGTCAAGTATTATGTGGTTCTTAATGTACAGACAAGATATGAAATAAATCATATAGTTATTATGATAAATACAATCTATAATCATATCTTAAGTCTGAATCAACCTGGCTATACTAGAAAATTATATTCTAAGTCTTTTGCCTTACACTATTACAGTCAAACATGAACCATACAGACATAAGGAGTCATAATTATAATTCTTATGACATGACTCTATCATTATTATTCCACAGCCTGAGAGGTTTGTGCTGTACAGTATGTTCTCTGTATGTGGTTTGAATGGAACATTTCAAAATAATGTCATAATAATATTATCATAATTACTAGTATATATTCCAATTGAAATACCTGAACCCATATATGAAGTATAATTTTGTGGATTTTTTTTAGTAAACCTTATGCACATACCAACACACACACACACACACACACACACACACACACACACACACTTAAATAAGAAGAAGACAGTATGGAAAGCGAGGCAGACAGGAGAGGAGAAGAGAGAAAACTTCCCTCCACTGTTTGGTTTAGTTCACTTTTGGTTGGCTAGTCGGCATTTTCAGTGGTGTTTGTTAATTAATGACTATTATGACAATTCCCCTGAGTGGAGTAGTGTAGGCTGAAAGGCCTGGACGCTCCCATGTCTAATCTCATCTGGGGCCTTCAGCCCAGTTCGCCTTCTCTTCAGCTGCTTCCAATTTGGGCTCAGCACTTGTGCTGTGCTGGCAATTTACATAACTATGAATATCAGCTGCTGTGGCCTTTTTCTGTATGCTGGCTGCAGCCTGCCTTCTTGTATGTATGTGATTTATGTGTCTTTTTAGAGCTCTTCTCATGACTGTATACATTTTCTGGATGTTGGTGTGAACGAAGTTGACAGCAAATCTCTTTCTTTTTTTTAATGAATGAATTAGAGTAAGAGAGAATAACATATTTAACACCTGCCAATGCAAACAGAGGAGGCTCGAGGAATGTGACTGAAAGAAAAGAAGAAGCCCAAATGAAAAGGTGACTATGTTTTGTCAGACTTTGATAGTGCTGCTCTGTGTGGTCTAAGAGGAGTGGGAGTGGGAGGTCACCTGCTCTTGTTCAGCTCCCTCCCCCCTGACCTCCAGCTTGGGTAGCTCCACTCACAGCTCCTAAAGCCTGCTGCCATTAAAGCAGCTAATCACGCTGAACAGCTGCATCCTTCACTGTACAAATCCTCAACACCTCGCTCTCCCACCCACACATTCACTCTGGCAAGCAGACAGACACATATACCGGCGTCCACGCACTCCCACTCTTCCTTTGCTAATGGCAAGCTGCAGCCGACTGATGTTTAAAGCGCGGGGTTTAGCGTGGAGGCCTGTGATAAGCTGCGCTGAGCTGTGAAAACACAGATTACATTTCTGCGGCTTATTACAGACAGCGCGCCTCTGCCTCCCAGCCATACCGTAATTGCGGCCCAAAAACCGCAGCCTCTGCTTTGCTGCGAGATACGGCTTGATGGGGACCCCCATTTGACAGCCGTGCTAATTCAAGTCTACGTCCCCCCTATATGTTTTGCTGCACGGCAGCCCCCTCCTGCGATAAGCTGCAGCCATATTTCTTTTCAAGTGCTGTCATCCATAAATCAAATCATGTCAAGATATCAACTGCTGCCTCTTTGTGTCATCTTCACACTTTTGAGGCTCCATCAAAATGAGCTGATAGATGGTAAAAGTCCCAAACACCTATGAATTTTACAGGTTTCCATGGCTGCTGAGTGAGCCAACACCCTTCATCACTGTGTATGTTGACACTGATGCAACCTGTATGAGATAGTCTTTTACAGCGAGCTCTAATGTAATAATGTTGCTTTTATGGGTTACACTTGATATCCTCGTATCACAAAATTGCCTCTAAATGAGGTATAATTTTGATATTTGTGTTTGATGTAGCATAAGTTGGGATATCCCATCTGAAAACAAGCATTTACTTACTTGGAATGCCAAAGCCAACCAGGCATACATTAAATCCCTGTTTCTGGCAGGCTATGAAAGTGCCTCCATCTGCAAATACTTAGCCTTTTTTTTTTTAAGCTCAATCAGAGATAAAGACCATTGTGCTCCAGGTCCAGAAGTAAGACAATATCTCCCAAACCTCATAGAAAACAATTAGGCCCTAGTAATTACACCACTGGCCTAGAATTCCAGCCAAGTCTTGAGGTTAAGAAAAAGAGAGCGAATGTGAAAGGTGCCTGTCTGATGAAGTGTTATCTTACTCTGCTTGGACTCTGATGGAGTACGTCTGTTTATCAGCCTGGGTGTGATGTAATGTTTTGCTTTTGGAGCCCTCAGTTTGAACGCGATAGGCCAAAAATGCTCGCAAGCCTGTGTATGACTGGATGACAGCATTTGGCATGAACTCTTCCCATAATATTCTCTCATCTATCTCTGTGCTCCGCTGCATTGGTTTTGGATATGCACAACCCAAAACTTAAACAGAGACACGTTATCTTTACTTTAGGCTGGACTTGTTGATTTACGTATGTTAACCAATCGACTGGCAGGCAGAGCGGGTGAGAACGGAGGGACACAAGAGAAAACAACTCTCTCATCTGCATTTGAAATATAACCATATTAATGATCGTGCTCTCAGCCTATAATGCGCTTCCTCTCCTCTCTTTCACCTTTAAGCAGCCCCGGCCCCAGAGTCCTGCTGGTATGGACATTGTTGAGATCTGCTGTAATGCAGACCGGCCTTGGGAGTCAGACGTGGCCAGGGGCTTTTGGGGTGGCCTGGTGAGAGAACAGTGGAGTTACAAGCAGGGTAGCGTGAGTAAATGAGCGGATCATACACATTTTCCACAGTCTGTGAAAGCAGACAGGCAGAGGAAAAGGGATGACGGGAGCAAAGGTATATGAGCAACATTGGAACTCCAAAAGAGGTCTTTAAAGATATATGTATCCGGTGTTAGCTGTTTATGAGATTTATGAGATCAAGAGCAATATGTTTTTAATGTCTACCCTAGACAGTAGAAAAGTGCAGCAGGATGATAGTTGTTTGTTCTTTTCCGCCCAACTCAAGGTCAAAAAAGTGCTCACAGTTGTCTGGAAATCCACAAAGAAATGTGTGGAGATTTGCAGATGGAGCCACACACAGGTATTAAGAGCCTGGATTTGAAACTTGCACCCACTGAACTACGAGTGCAGCTTTAACTTTCACTTGGCAACACTATGGCAACAGATTTAAGCACAATCCGGCCTCCAGCTTTGCCCGTGTGGCAAGCTTTTATTTCTCCTTAAAGCAGCGAATGAGGCAGACAGCAGCGGGGTATCAGGTTCTGCACTGGCAAGAGGTTCTGCTCACGCGGCAGGAGCAGAACAAAGCACCGGTGGCCCTGGATAGCATCCATAGTGCCGGAGAGTAAAGGCCCTGTGAATGGGACCTGTCACTTCCACTCAGCGCCGCCTGTGATCTGAGCTACCCGGAACGACGCTCAGATAAGTGGCTAATCCCAGCATCCCCGCTGGCTCGACAGCCCCCTACTGCCATGACAACGGGAGGGGAATCTCCTGCAGCAACAACTTAATTGGATAATTTCCTCCCTGTTTGACTGTGTGTTCCTCTGCTTTTGTTAAGTAAAGTTTGGGTTGTCTGAATGTGTTTTTTGACTTTGAGACTGGGGAAGGTTTAAAACAAGCACGACATTCAGGAAGTTTTGATATGTGTAAGCAAGCCGGAAAAGCAGAGAAACGACTCCAGTTGAAGCCACACTGCAGGAGACTTCCACGCCACAGGGAAGGCTGGGAGTTGTTCTTATTTCACCTGGGAGTGGGAGCATAAGAGAAAAACAGCCTCTGCTTTCAGCAACACAAAAAAGTGACCACTTTAACCACTGTAAACATTTATTGTCCTTTGTGTCAGAAAGCCTGACGATTTACGTTACACCCAGTCAAGTCCTGGGTCCCGGCATAAACAGACGCTCCACCCTTCTCCTCAGGCTGTAGAGACACGGGGGCCAGTGCCAGGGGAAGTCATTATACACTGGGAGTGTGTGTTTGTGTGTCAGTGTGTGTGTGTGTGTGTGGGCAGCTACTGTAGTTGAAAAATGAAAACAGCAGCTAGCATGGCACTCCAAGAGGATGAAGACTTGGTTCCAGCTGGACCATAAAACTCAAAACCACACAAAAGAATCAACCCTTACGTAGCACAATGACTCTCAGAATGAGCACATTAAAACTGATTAATAAAGTGGAGGTATCTGACTCACCCTGAGGAGGCTGAGGGATCTTATTTCTGAACTTCATTTAGAGGACAGAAGCAGCCTTATGTAAGCCTAATGGAAATCACTCCTGTTTTAAAGTATTGCTCGTACACGTGTATTGGAAAGCACATACACAGCCTAGAACTCAAAACAGAGGGATGCAGTTGGTGATAAATGAGTGAGCTTGAAGAGATAAAAAATGATAAATAGAAGGAAACAGATAGGCAGGTAAAGGAAAAAGGCAGCTGAGAAAGAGAAAACAGACAGAACATTAAACCATTTCTCAGTCGTAGATTGCGACATTGGCCCCCTCCGAGAGCTCGAACTGCTTTATAACTAAAGTGTGCATGTGTGTGTGAGTCCTTCTGTCTCGACTGACCTTCTTCACAGGCAGCGCCGCTGAATCCTGGACAGCATTTCCACTCCAGAGAGGTCACAGTGCGGTACACCACTTTATAGGAAGGTCTGACCACGGTCCTATAGCTGAAAAACACACACAAAACCTAAAGTCATCACATACACACAGTTAACAACAGCTGTCAGTACATGACTGTAACAACCCACTTTCCCCTGTGGCGTGTGATCTGGGGGCTTTGTGAAGCAAAATTAAAGAAAAAAAATACAATTCAGGGAGTTGCTGATGTTCAAACCCAGAGAAATCCCTTTTATTCAAGGTAGTGGTACATTTCATTTGGATGCCTGTCAATGGCGTCGTAACCCCTTTATCCCCTCTTGGAATATGTCAGAGAACATAATAAAACTTTAATACATTACTTCTTCCTTGAAAATAATTTCTGCCTGACTCACATCAGATTGATTTTCATTGGCAATGGTGGTTGTTTCCCAAGTCCCATGATCCCATGCTACTTCACGTTGTCATCAAACTACATCTTTTGTTATTGTTTGATGTGAGACACCCACTAGTGACAGAAAATTTTCTGCTGTGCGTTTAAGTTCTTTTATTAGTTTTTCTCTACCCAGGAACAGGTGTGAACTTGTATGAAATATTTCAGGTGTTCCTAACTCAGAATACAACATTAGCTGCGTTGCATTTTCATCTACTGTGAATTATTTTGGGTGGAGAAAGTGCTTTGTCTAATAATAATAATAATAATAGATTTCCTACCCCATTCACTCACTGGTGGATGAATGGGAAGAACAAGAAAACCTGCCGTTATTTCCACACAGTACACACAGTTGGAGCGATTCATTACAGTTCTTATACATTCTCTCATTGGGTTAACTTCTAGTCAATGAAATAATATTGAAATAATTTTCCCCAGGTTAAAAGGGCACTGGTCTAAACAATGTGACTTGAACATAGCATAAGCTGAAGTAACAAATGCTGAAACTAAAAAACCCTCTGTGAGTTATTCTGCTATTAAATTATAGTTAAAAAGAAAAGGAACACAATACCAACAGAGATGGTACTTCCACAGTAACCGTTTTAAGAATTTTAATGTGGGTTCTTCTCTTTAAATGTGTGGTTCAGCCGTAGCAGGAACAGTAAAGTCCTTTCGCCTTCTCACCTGCCTCCCGTACATCCCTGTGGCCAGCGGCATGTCTGGTAGACCCGCTGGAGGATTGTCCCATTCTGCACCTGGCATGTCACTGTCTTAGTGACCGTATGAGGACACCAGTTCCTGAAGGGACAAACAGAGTGAGAGAAAGTCAGAATTGGAGAATTAAAGTTACTGTTTTCAGATACAGAAGAAAAAACACTTTTCGAAACAATTCACAGAGAAAGAATAGTGTATATGTTTTCACAACTCCTTCAAACAAGTGCACTCACACTATCGTGCACAAATTAGCCAAGCAGTCACATTCAATACTCTGTTGTCTTCCCGCGGGTTTTACATTCTTCACTCCCTTCCCCCACCCTTTTGTTTTGAAACTCCTTTATGGTGTTTACACGGATTTAATCAGCCACAAGATTTGCATTGTGGCCGTATTTACACTGTGGTCTCTCCTCTATCAATACACATCCGTTTGCATTCGCCTCTCGGAGGAGGTAAAGTCCCTCAGGAGGGAATAAAGAGGAAGACAAGGTCCCATACGGAGATTAGATTTTTTCAGCACAGGTTAATGGTGGGTTATGAGTCCACTCCCTTTTCCGAGAGGCTGCGTAAGACAATTTCTGGATTCACTGAGGCTGTTAAGACCTGCTTGGGGGTGTAAGTGTGTAAAGGTCAGAGGTTAAGATCTGATAGTGAGGATATGATCACTTGGAGCAAAATGAGTCAAGTGCACTCGCTTAAATTCACCTCCAAGTAATTTCTTAGGCCTCTAGAAGCAAAATCAAATATTTTCACTCAGTAAAAGAGTCGAGGTATAGCATTCAATACCACCATTAGGCTAAAAGCACCAAATTATGTAACGGGTAATTCATTTGAGAGCTAATAGGTTTGGTGTAATCCTCGCCGAGAGCTCAATTACTCTCCTAACGGGAGTAGATATCTGTTCTTGATAGTGCAGGGGCAATGAGAGAAGTTTAGCTTGAGAGGCCAGTTTCATCTCATCCCTTTACTTACCAGATAAAGAAAGCACTGCAGTGGTTACTTGACTTTAATGTATGGAAAACACACTGAAGCCGTTTGAGCCACCATATGTTACTATTATTTTATTAACAATGAAGTGTACAAATACCCTGATTACCGTCATATGGTCAGAGCAGGAGGAGAAACAAGGAGAAGGACTACTATAGCCTGTGTTTACACAATCAATAGATGTATAGAAAGGGGGCTCTATGTGGAAACCACAAAGGAGACTGTGTGGCTCGTAGCACAAAACTACACTTTGTGTGTTCGGCTGCCAATGTATTTGCAAGAGTGGGGGGGTTTCCCACCAAAGTCTGTTTGTCAATATGTGAGACCATATGTTTGTGTGTGTGAGAGACGGTTTACACCAAAGGAAACTGCCAAAGGCGGAGGATGCGGAGCAGCCCTGAACCAGCTCCCATTAACAATCCCCACATGTTGTGGTGGCCGCACACAGACCTGAGCCAGCCAGCAGAGGCACCTCAGAGAAATGTCTGCTACTGCTGACATACTTTTTTCCACATATGATTGGTTATTATTGATTACTCTTGTTTTTTTCCCCCGCCTATTCTATCTATGTATTCTTTGCTTCATTTAAAAAAACGTTACTTTGGCAGATTAAGTTTCAAATGTGAGTCTGAGACAACATATTCCAGACTATTCTAAGTATAAAAGTAAGACTATAAAAGTAAAATGAACTGTGCAAAAGTAAGACACAGTTAGAATTAACCCTAAACTCAAGCAAAGCGAGCAGGGAATTAATCTGCCACACATGTTATTTAAATACAGGCCCACCCTTCATGTATCTCAGCGTATCCATCAGCCGTGAGGCTACTAAAATGAACATGGATCTATATGATTACCCCATGATTGCTTTCCCTTGTCCAGAAAAAAATTGCTCTAATCATCGGTGGAAAATTTCAGACATTGAAGGAGTTGTGGTCAGGTAGAGCTGGGAGTGAGGGGAGGTGGGGGGGGGGGGGGGGGGGTACTAACCCTAACTCCTCCTCATCACTTATCCTCAAGACCCAAAAGATAAACATCTGAGTTTCCCAGGCTGAGGGGAGGTTTCACCTGGGAACAGCTAGGATTGTCACCGGGGGGTACAAGGCGGGAAGTGGGGGTAGGTTTTATGATCTCCCCTTCTCTCTTTGCATTGCACTTATGCAATTACCAAAGAGGAGATGCCAACCGCTGCAGCTTCAGTGAATGAAATAACAAAAGCAGTTGGCATAACAGAGTTTGCAATTTCCCAAATGGCTTGAAACCAAATCCTGCATTACCTATAATAACTTGCAAAAACTGATTCACACAATACATAATAAGTACATGGCAGCAGGAACGATATGAGGGTATACTCCTTTGATGCCAGAAGATAATTGTATTAACTGGGTAATGGTAAAATTATAATCTCTTCTGGGATGTAAAGGAATAAAAATTTTAAAGCTGTCTTACTCACAAGCCCTAAAGCAAATAACTTTCCTCATTTTAGTTGCAGAGAACTACGACACAATGGACCATTGAATTTTCTCTGGCTTTATTCATAAAGGGACACAGGTGCTTGGTGCACTCAGTCTTTCACTCTAAAATGTTTCATAGTCAACACCTTCCTCTTACTGGAGGCGCCCTTGTCTTATGAAGTGTGAAACCCACCAGCACCATGCTGTTTCACTGGCAAAAGCACCAAGCAGGCCCTCAGTGAGTATCAGGTCTCTAAGCACACATGGTACACTCTGAATGTCGGGCCCAAGCTAAATAAATCATCAACCATCTCTCTGCAGTCACACACAGCCACAGCCAATAGTCAAGAAAGAAATCCACTATTTTTAAGGGACAGAAGAATCACAGCTTTAGTCCATCTGTTCCTCAACGCTACAGATGCCAAGACAGTAAAACATCGGAGGGAAACAAAAACTTGCTGAACCCTAAACGAATGCAAATGCTGACAGAGAGCTCATGAACTTGTCAAATAAGCTTATACGCTGTATTCTTGTTACTGTGCTGAGTTTATGCACTGGGACTTAGGCCATGTGACCTGACGAGAGGGTTGATAAGGGCAAAACGCTGGTGAGACGCTGGTCACAAACGTCTGGGTAACTCCCTCTCCATCCACCCATCCATTCTCGTACTGTGGGAGGAGGAGGGCCGAACACTCAAAGATATGATTGAATTGCGGCGTGGATACAAATCTAAAGGAATTTCGCTAGATTTCTGTCTGTGGGAAAAATACTCGGAGAGAGAACAAAGGACAAAAGACAGATGTGGCAAACAGCCAGAGTAGAGGAGAGGAGACAAAGGTCATTTTATCATAAGGGTCACACAAGGGAGCTTCCGATGGGAATAAAACGGTGGAACGAAAGACTATTATGAAGCACTGTTGGTCCCACGGGTTGTAGAAGTGGCGTAAGATAAATGTGGTGCAATGACAAATGGCAAAGAGAGAACTAGAGAGTACAGCCACAGTGACATTAATGAAGAGAGAGGGATAAGACATTCCTGGAGTAATAATCTGCAGCTTCTGGGAAAACCAGAGAGTAGACTATAAGAGAGTAGTGTAAGACAAACTGTCAGAGAAAATAAAAACAAGAGTTATGTTCAGTTTGCATCTGAAGAACTATCAAATGATAAATCAATAGAGAGTATTAGGGCTAGTGGTCTATCATATTGCAGGTTCTAAGCCACTGCGTGTTTTCCAGTGAAGATCATCAAAGCACGAGGCGAGGCCTTGAAGGTCAGAGCTAAGTGACTCTTCACAGCAGCCTCAGAGGAACAAGGAAAACTCTCATTTGTCTCTGTCCGTTTTGATCTTTCAAGCATGGACACCTGTGAGCGCTGACGGTGTCTCTGTGTTTAACGGGTGCGTGCGTCTTTAAGTGTTTGAGGCTGGAAGCATGAAGGGAGTTCCGCTCAATTTAGAAATTCATTTATATCACAGCTATGGCTCCACACAGCAAGTCATGAATGGTCCATCATGTAGAGCTGAGCCAACACTGACTGGGTCTTGTTTTGTCCAACCAACAGTCCAAAACCCAAAGAGATTCAGTTTTCTATCGTAGAAAACTAAAAAACAAGCAAATACTCACATTTGAGAAACAGATTCTTAAGGCTTTTTGTTTTCTTAAGAAATGTAGGGCTGCAACTAACGACTAGTTTCATTGTCAGTTTATCTACTGATTATTTCTTTGGTTAATACTTAGGTCTATAAAACATAAGGACATCCATTTAGTTGTCTTAAGATGTCTTATTTTGTCCAGCTAGTCAAAAACCAAAGACCTTCAGTTAACAATGATACAAAAGAGAGAAAGGCAGCAAATCTTCACATTTAAGAAGATAAAAACATCAATTTTGGAGTAATTATTGCTTAGAAAGCAACTCAAACAATTATTATTTTTAATGTGCCTAATATTACCCATGAAACATTTTCCGTCAGCATATACATTGTTTGAAGTTCTTTGAATGATCCCATCTAAAGCCACACAGAGTCTTCCAGAATCTCTGTCATCTTTATTCCCATGCCTGGAGAAAACGTGGATATGGTTGGGTGAGGAATGAGGGCGGCCACAGGGTTCAGACGGCCTGTCAGACCATGACAAGTCCTCAGAGGGAGGATAAAGAAGTGGGCGAGACAAGAAATAAAGAAGCGGCTCCCTCCGTAACCCCTCAGTGTACTGAGCTCATATAGTCGTTAAGAAAGACAAGGGTGAGCGAACACTTTATCAGCTCCTCTACAGAGCGACCACACCAGTCAAGAAATTACTCAAGAGTTGATAATCCCCTTAGATTTGGGTAATCACTGTGTGAAGACAGCCTGGTAGGGGAAGACATTCTTAGTAAAGGTTATTTCTTTGACAGAATCCTTTCCCATTCTGTTAAAATTAATATTTACTTCCTTAAAAGTTCCTGAACCCCAATGACAAGTTGCTGTATTTGAATGTCAAGTTGAGAGAAAGCCCTCTGCTCTCTGAAATCCCACTGCCACTGTTTGGCTTTGTTGACACACCATAAACTGCTCCTCTCGCAGATCAGGCCAGACAGCAGGTGGGCCGAGACTTTCAGCTCCTCTCATGTCCCCTCAAACCCGCTGACCTCTCGACCGGTGGCTGACTCACACCAAAAGAAGCTTCCTCTCCATCTATCCCTCCAGTCCTCCGCTGCCACTTACAAACAGCAGCAAAACTGACTGTAAACTCATCTCCGCTCTTCCCAGAACAAGCCCAGATGCGGTGGAGTCCCAGCTGCTTGTGTTTAGTAAACACATCCACCAAACCTCAGGCCATGAGTGACAGGGGAGCTGAGTGGAGAGGTGAGCCAGTGGAGCGAGGCTGGGAGTGCTGAAAGCAACCTGGACACACCCCGAAGAAAAGGCCCCATCAGAGAGAAGGGGGTTTCAGCCTCCGGTCACATTCAACACACACACACACACACACACACTCGCAACCTGACAGCATAAATATTTGTGATATGGGAAATGTCCTCTCATAATGAAGCACCGGTTAGTCTCCGAGCTAAACATTGGCTCTGTCCAGGAGGGAAGCGGAGCTGGTTAGCGCTCTTGCCTGTGTGTTTAGTCTAGTGACTCTCCTTCAGAAAAAAACGCCCTCATCAACAACTCAATCATTGTATGACATCTCATCCCCCTCTTTTCATTCAGTAACCCCTTCTTAAGCTATCAATACTGAGTGCTTTAGTACAGAATCTCTCCCTCATTCACTGATGCATCCTGTCTTCACCACCGGCATCCACATCGGAGCAGGCGTCGTGTGGACAGATCTGGGGAGTAAATGTGGTGCTTTGAAGAGCACCGTGACAGCTGAGACGGAGCAGATGATGTTGCTGCTCCTACATCTCCTGCTGCAGGCATAAAACAGGCACACAACACACCTTAGAGGCTTGGAGGCGCTATCAGGAGGCCACACAGAGAGAAGCTGAGTGAGCTGGGACAACAATGAGGATGGGCAGTCAGCAGAGCAATGTGTAATGCCAGCACAGGAAAAAGGAAACCAACTGTCAGGAAGACAATAGGACCTGGTAGATGGATGGAGATGGGAGTAGCTCTGCAGAGGCATGCATTGACAAGAAGATACAAAAAAGTGAACTGCTAAAAAGGTTGAAAATAGACTTTAGAGGCTAGAAAAAGGTTATTATGCGCATGTAATAGGACATAACTGAGGATTAACGCACAGCCCCAGTATGTTTAAGTACTCCCCATGTCTCGGTGTAGTAGTGTGGATGCTTTTCTTACCTTTTCTGGTAGACTGAGGTGTGAGAAGCTGCTGTCTGGTCTCGGCTCAGCTGCGTCCCGGCTGAGTAGGTTTTGTAAAGTCCCGTCTTCCAGGTCCCGTCAACAGACGTGGTCAGCCAGAGTATCAGCCCAGTCCAAAGCAAACTTTTTCTGCTAAGCGCGGACACGCTCTCCCGTTGGCGCGGTCCCATTTCCGTGGCATCAAAAGTACAGCCAGAAAAAAAAAGTTCAAATGAGCCCAACTTCCCCCCGGTTAGAAAACAGACCGGTTAGTGAATCCAGCTCGGGGAAGGAGGAGGAGGAGGAGTGGGGGAGCGAAAGTGTCAAACAGCACCGGGTCGGCTGGAGAAGACACGCATCCTATTCACTAAAGTAGCAAACATGCACTTCTGTCCCTTATTTTTTTGTAAAAGAGCCTGTCTTTGAAATCCCAAGTGAACTAAAAAAAAAAAAAAGGCCGCCCCATAAACCCCCGCGTCTCGTTTGCGTCTACCTGTGACGGAGCGCCGACATCTGAGAATAAACCCTTGAAGAGTGTGCGCGTCCCAGCCTCTATCTGCTCTGCCTACCTCCGCCTGTCTGCGCGCATATCGACTCCAGCCTTTACAGTGGGCACGAAACCACTTTTTATAGTCTCCTCGGGTCTTTTAAAAGCACAGCCTGCTGGGTCTTTTTT